GCGGCTTGCCACTACATTCTGGACGAGAATCAATGCCGTCGCGATTGGGACAATGTGCTAGCGGCAGCTGATCAACCCGGTAGGTTGTCCGTTTTCACCAACCACAATTGCGTGAGAACCCCCGCTCCCGCTGAACACGTTCACATCTGTGCGTCTGACCACGCCATATTACTCATATCAAAAGTTCGTGTCCACCCAATCCATGGCTCTAGGAATGTGTTGCTTCAACGTAGTCTTCCGTAACTCATTTGTTGTTTCGCTTGATGTCCACCTGGGCATGCTTTTATTCAAGCAACAAGCGGCAGCTGTTCTTCAGTGGCCCTTATCTGGTTCATCTCTGCAAGACTGGCACGTCCACCACCGAATGTTTCTCTTTTCTGACGGAAATCAATTGTTCACATCTATGACTAGTGCCAAATCCTGCTTTCCTAATTGTCTTAATCTCTGACTGTTTTATTTTTTGCCGAAACTTTACATTGACCTATGTTTGCTATCGAAATCCGGTGGCAGGTACACAGGAGAAAGTTTTAACCACAAACCGTTCAGATCGAATAGGTTGGATTTTCTTACTTTGGTTGTGGTGCCGTCGGGACATCCGTCTGTCTATGAAGGGTCCAGTATATGCTGCTGTAGCAGTTCGGTCAGTACTGCTCTACGGTGCAGAAACTTGGCCATTACGGGAACAGGATAAAAATAGATTGTCGGTGTTCAAACACCGCTGTCTACGTCGCATTGCACGAGTCTGGTGGGGTAACCGGACGAGCAATGCTGAGGTTAGGCGTAGAATTTTAGGTAATCGCGGTCGTCTGCTGGAAGAAGTGATCAACCTGCATAGATTACGTTGGTTGGGGCATGTTTTACGCATGTCACCAAATAGGTTGCCAAGGCGAGCGTTGTTTGCCGAGGTAGGTAGCGGTAGGTGGTCGTCAAACGAAGACCTGGCATGAGGATATGAAAATCCTAACCAGGAGACTAGGCCACATAGTCCCCGTTAGACTTCCTGCCTGGGGAACTCGGGATGATGGTCACCGATGGCTAGATACACGGAGTGAAATGGCTGGATGTCGCAAACAGTGACGCTCATGCATCTACTTATTATTCTAGTAACTTCAGTGTATGTAAATGCGTTATCTTCCGCTTGAATCTACTCAAATTTATATTCATCATTCTGCTTTTGTATCCAGATGGACAACGAAGAGACCGCAACCCAAACCGGTGCATGGTTAATGATTGTAAGAACTGAACCTGCAGATCTCATGCAGCCGCAGTGGAGTACAAATGCTATTTTAATTCGGGTACCAAGTGACTTTCATAACCGAAATATAACAAATATTGTTGTTTTTGAGCAAGAGACCGATTGATTATTCGACTACGCACGCTTTCAATATGTCGGGGATGGGTATCTCGGTCTAGGTGACCCATCCCCCTTCCTTTGCAACTCGGGAAATGCTTCTCCTGTATGGCCAAACGTCTCAAATAGTCTCTGCTGAGAGAGTCCTACTCACTTCCCCCCTCATCCCCTGGCGAGGTGTTTTCGTACACAAAAGTGAGAGGACGATAGGCTGACTTCCGGAGCTATAACCGGGTCGTTCTCATTCACTTACTTACTCACATCCGTTACACATGCAAGTACCCGATACAAAGTGTCAGAAAGAATCAGCATTCTATCTCAGTTTCATGTTCATTTGTCGATGAAAACCATCAATCATTGTGTACCCTCCATATTCTGTTTTTTTTTTTGAATTATTTATTCACATTGTTCAATGGAACACGTATCGATCTGTCTTAGTTATCCAATCCGCATGCCAAGGGTTAGGCGGACCGGGGAAACTTGGTACAGTGTTTCACTAGCTAAAAAAGGATGTCGCGCATTCGTCTCGTCCTTGTCGGGGACACGTCAGCAACATGTCCAGTTTATGTTCAACCCCAAACGGGAATCACAACCTTCGAGGTCAAAGAACCGCCATCCTTGAGTAACATGGCTGTCAGATAACACATAGCTACAGTGTTCATGGAAGTGTACGTTATTGAAACACAAACAACTTCAATGGGAAATCGGAAGCATAGTTTCCATTTTGACGAATTTGAATAAAGAAACCAACAATTCAGGTTTGCACAATGTAATCTGGATCATTTCGTCTCGTCTGTACACATGCATTCTGTAGTCTATGTGATCATTAATATATGCGTTCAGTAAATAACAGAAAGATTGCTGTCAAAACTACTCACCAAACACATTTGTTACCAAACGGATAAGCCATCCACGCTATTTACACAGTTTGGGCTGATAATTTTGAATGGCTAATGCCTCGGCGTATTTCAGAACCTTGTTTGTGTTGTACGAGATTCTGAACGTGTCGCACAGCATGTTTCATTTCGACCAGGTGTTATATGATCGACGAATTGAACTTCCTACGGGTCATTGGTGACCTCATACTTCCGAAGTTTCCACCCATTGTTTTCAATGGGAACGCTTTGCAGAGCCTGGACTGAGCCAATATGAGCATCCTACACTACTACATCGACATTAAGCTGAACAAGTACGCTTTCATTGATATTCATATCACGGAAACACTCACTCACCTCAATACCGCTTCGTCGTTCATTTGCCCCCTCTTTTTTGCCGACAGGTGGTGCTTTGGAACAGATTCACATCTTTGCTCTGAGTCACATTTTGCGACGTCCGATCATTGTGTACGGGGTCAAATACATCAAAAACTATCGAGACGAACCGATCGGTATTGCCAATTTTCAAGGTAAGTATTACGCGAAAAATTCCGAATCAGATGTTTCTCATTTACATGCATGCACTTTCTCGTTTGATGGACTCGTTTATATCCAGTTCGCTGCTTACTCTAACTCCCATCTGTCTGCACCCTTCAAAGTGTGCTGGGTTTGCGATTATCAGCTAGATCGATGGGGATCGTATGACTGCTGGGACCTAATCAAATGAAAAGTACTTTCGCGTGCTCCTTAGCGTTTCAACCCCCAATTCGTTAACTCCAGACCCGACCAAGTTGAGCATATAATCTCTCACTACCTTCACATACCGTGATATC